CTTTTAAAAATTGATTCCATGCATTGGCAATGAAAGAATTTCCCCAAAGATTTGCACAGAATGTATTAAGGTCACATCAAAGAGGCCACCATCATACTAAAACAGTGCCATCACATGCTTATGGATTTGGCATGCTTTCCTTAGAATGTCGGCTTCTCACAACGGCATGAATTGGCTTCAGTGATCTCCTGTATTCAGGAGACTTTGCAATGGGTAATCGCCAGCGTGCAACTACACTGTCAATTGCCCTCACTACAATATGAGGCAGTACCTTGCCGATGGTATTTATCCTCAGTGGGCGGCATTTGTGAAAACCATATCTTATTTCGAAGGCAACGAACAAAGCCACTTTGCAACAATGCAGAAAAGAAGCTTCAAACACTTGGGAAAGTATTTATGGAGCTGCAATGATGCAGGAATCGTAGATTTTATGGCAGCTGATGACATGTTGTGTCATTTTGCAAAATACGATTGTCGAGGATGATCATCATGGGTAGTCCAAACCAATGATTTTGAAACACCTGGAGAACACGTCCACATCCCGGAATATCAAAATGTAGACCAGCTTATGAATTTTCTGCACATGCGTTAGAATCTTTGAAATCATCAGATGCACATGCAGCTACTGAGTGCTCTTGTGGAGCATATGTGAACACACAATGAAAATCAAAGAGCTAATATTTGAATTCGGCACTTAAAATAAAATTTATGTTCGAATTATGGATATTTGCTACCAACAAATGTTACTTACCTGTGTCATTTACGTGTGCGATGGACGCGCGTAGATTTTCATGAATTTGATGGTTTGGATATGAGGTGTTTGGCTGCTCGGCACGACATACAACAGGTCGTCCGACCCGGTTTACAGGCCTGCCCGGACATATCCGCAGAGGTATGGGAGTCGGATTTGCCGGATGTAAATGCTCTCGGTAGCAACGGGCCACCACACGTCTGACCCTAGTGGCCAGTTTGTGCAGCTCACGTACGCTGCTACATGTGCAACGGGCCATTACTTCCAACAGTGTGCATCATTGATTCAATACTCGACCTTGGCGACCTGCACCGGCTGCACGCACAGTAAATTCACCCACGTCTCCATTATTAAATGGGTACGTACCATGACGTAGTTGCATCCAACGTCAGCAAGGTAAATTGCAGTGAACTTTCCTCGACCTTTCCATCACTCGCATATATTTGCAATACTGTAGCATGCATCCATCTTATGCACTGGCTTCACTGTGTGTATGCACATTCATCCTCACCACCAACACTTCCTCATCACATCCTGTATGAACTATCCTGCCCATACTCCACAAAACACCAGCATCCATACCACCGGTGCAGTCTTCACCATCCCTGCTCCATAGAACTCCACCATCCACACTAGAACTAGTGCAGCCTCTGGGATTTGGCATATCTTTCTCATCCATACTCCATAGAAATCAGTCACCATGGCCGCGCCTCCCTTGCAATCCCGTTCCCGGCTGCTGCTGCTGGCAGCTATCACAAGCATCCTTGCCGCCGCGACTGATCTCTTGGACCTGGCTGCTGCTCAACCGCCAATCGCGCTTCCGCATTGCCGCGACAAGTGTGGCAACACCAGCATCCCCTTCCCGTTCGGCATTGGGCGGGGCTGCTTCCTGAGTGACCCATTCGAGATCAACTGCGACGACTCCACCACTCCACCTCGCGCCTTCCTTAGCAGTGACTCATACCAGACAATGGTCGAGTCCAGCTATTCCAATTCCGGCGCTCCTTTTCAGTTCAACGAGACAGCGATATCGCATTTTCCAGTCGAGCTCATTGACATATCAGTCGCCAAGAATGAGGTACGGGCATACGCCGCGGTTTCATCCTACTGCATCAAATCCCCTACGGAGCAGGTATTCAAGGTTCATCACACTGTTGTGGGGCCTAACAAGTTCATATATCCGCTCGCCCTGTCCAAGCGCAACTCTCTGATCGGTGTCGGCATGAATGTCAAAGCCATGTTGGTGAGCGAGTCGGCACTCACGTCGCCAGACCCGGGTTTACAGGTGGTATCACCATCCTGCTCATCCGTTGCCGAAATTGGTGGTTTCTACTCGCCCACAAATGGGTCGTGCGCGGGTTATGGCTGCTGTCAGGTCCTCTTCGCGGCGAAGGAGGATACCCTCGGCGACTTTCGGGTGTCGCTCAATCCCGCGTACAATGGTACACAACTGGGTTGGGAAGAAGCCCCGTGCTCGTACGGAATGGTGGTGGAGAGTTCATGGTACAACTTCTCTACGCCGGACCTGTTTGGGTATGAGGTGTTATCCAAAAAACTCCAAAGGGGCGTCCCCTTTGTTATCGATTTCAGCGTTTTGGCCGACGGCGTAGCTATACGTCCCGGTTTTGGTTTCGTTACATTTGATTTTTGGAGCGGCTCATGTCCGGCGGAAGGCCAGCGGGCACCTCCGCGCTACGCCTGCTCCAGCAGCAACAGCTATTGTGCCAACACAAGCAATACAGATGGTTACACCTATGTCTGCAAGTACAGGAAGTATTACGAGGGCAATCCCTATGTCACTAATGGATGCCAAGGTACATACACAAAATGTTGTTTCATATGCTGATCTGTCAACTAGTAGTACGACTTAAGAACGTATTTAAATTTAACCTTAATTTGCTTTTTCTCAGATATACATGAGTGCAAAAAACCTGATTTGTATCCCTGCTATGGGGACTGCAAGAACCGACTTGGAGGCTACGACTGTCCATGCAAGCGCGGAATGAAGGGTGATGGCAAAGCAGGAACCTGCAAACAGATATTCCCCCTAATTGCTAGGGTGATTGTGGGTAAGTATGATGTGATTTACTTAAATAAATCCATGTTCTTGGTTACCTACCTTCTTTCATTTATATGGTCTTTCCCACATATGTTGCATTGGGGTTTAGTGAAGTTCATAAGGGCCTTCTTAATAATGTTAATCAACAAAAAAGTATATACAAAAATTGGCATGCTGATTAGCACCAACTTAATTTACTAATAAGCGACATGCATGTAGTGTAAAGAATGGATTAATAGGGGGTTTAGCTGTGTCATTAATGATGTTAACTGAGGAGTAACTTAACTAGTGAAGAGTACACTTTTCGCGTACACCGAATATGTTTAGTCTCTTCCAGTGCATTCATCTTGAATTATATCTTCAAGCAGGATGGTAATTGCTTCTCGATGATGTCCACAATATTACTAGCCCAAACCATCGTATAGAAATATATGTAGATTACAATCGGCCAAACATCTACTTCTATACATATATAAACCTTTCTAATTTTATATTTCGTGTTTGATGTGTCGTTGTGTTTGTCTTTCTCATCCTATTTTTGGGAGTTGTAATTAATCCCTTGGCAATATTATTGATACTTTTGTTGCTATTCCTGTATCTAATCTTAATAATAAAGAATAGATTCTTAAAAGAGTCAGTTCCTTTTTGAACTATCTTTGGCTTTTAATTTTCAATTGTAAATTTTAGAGACATAAACTAACTTCGTTTCTTCTCGATGCAGGTGCAATAGGTTCTATTATTTTATTGGTTATATTATTTCTTGTTATTCTTCAAAAGGAGAAAAGGAAGACCAGAGACTTCTACCAAAAGAATGGTGGGCCTGTTTTGGAGAAGGCAAAAATTATAAAACTTTTCAAAAAGGAAGAGCTGAATCCGATTTTAAAGAGTAGCAATTTTATTGAAAAAGGTGGGTTTGGTGAAGTTTATAAGGGCTTTCTTAATAATGAACTAGTTGCAGTAAAGAAGCCAATCAGCGGTAGTGTGCTGGAGATTGCAGGGCCGGTCCATGCATGTTGGGGGCCCTGGGGCGAAATTAAAACTTAGGGCCCCATTAACACTTCATTTTTTTTGCGGGGGATCACTTCATTTATAGTACTGCATAAGTAAAATAACCAATCGGTACGATGCAACACGTTATATGTCGATGATCTTGGCTTCATCTTAATTATTATTTCGTTGTTCAAATGAAACAAAACCAATATCATAAATCCCAAGAGTAACTACAGGTTTTGAAATGTTAATTACTCCCATTGGGAATTCCTTTAAAAAGATACTCTACCAACAAATGTAATCCCATTATTTTCTTTGCTCTAATCACAATTCACTACTGGCAAAATACTAGAAGACATTCTACAACAGAACTACAAAAATTGCAGAAAAAGATTCAATATACATAATCTAGAAAATTGTGTTCAAGATATATATAGTCAAGGAACGAAAGCACCTTAATGTGGATTGTTGGATGGAATATAAGAAATGTACGAGTCCACGAAAACTTCAGCCTGTAATATCTGAACAATGCCCTCCAAATATAAGAGACATATTACCTCCAAAAGATAAGTATGTCTAAAGTTAAAATAGTGCTATGAAAATTCTCACCATGGATTGACATTATTTAACATTGAATCACAGAACTAAGGAACCAAATTACTAGAAACAAGAACCTGTTACAATCTCTCAATCATATGGGGATGGAGCAGAATGAACGGATGAAGAAGAGCTAATTGGGGCCGAAATTGCACCATTTTCCTCCGTTAATGGTTGGCCGCGATCTCAAAATCAGAAAGGCATGGGAGAGGCGGCGCTGTTCTTGGAGACCGAGATAGGAAATTTGGGAAGAGGAGGAGACGCCGCCGTGGAGAGAGATCCCTATCCAACAACCATCGATTTAATTCCAACATGTGACTTCCACCCATGTCCAACAGCGTGGTGGGCTTTCCTTACTGGCTGCACTTTGGGCCCTCTTCTTTTTTTTACCTCTGTATTTTCTAGGTTTAAGACTAAACAGAAAACTACACCTGGGCCGGGGCCCCTGATTCCCGGGGGCCCAGGGCGGGCGCCCCGTTTGCCCGGCCTATGGGCCGGGCCTGGGAGATTGAACAATTCGCAAATGAAGTCATCATCCAGTCTCAAGTCATCCACAAGAATATTGTTAGGCTCATAGGTTGTTGCCTAGAAGTTGATATCCCAATGCTAGTGTATGAGTTCCTCCCTAAAGGTAGTCTAGAAGACATTCTTCATAGTGGCCACAAGATGCCTATCAACTTGGATCTGCGTTTAAGAATTGCTGCAGAATCAGCAGATGGTCTAGCTTATATGCATTCAAAGACCACTACTAAGATCGTACATGGTGATGTTAAACCAGCAAACATACTGTTGGATGATAAATTTGTGCCGAAGATCTCAGACTTTGGCATATCAAGGTTGATTGCAAGAGATAAACAACATACCCTATCAATCATTGGTGACAGAAGCTACATGGATCCTGTATATTTCCAAACAGGCCTACTAACTGAAAAAAGTGATGTTTACAGTTTTGGAGTTGTGATCTTGGAGCTTATCAGCAGGGAGAAGGCCACACATTCTGACAATAATAGCTTGGTAAATAATTTCCTTGAAGCTCACAAGAATGAGAAGAAAGCAACTGAGTTTTTTGACAAGGAAATTGCAGTAACAAGAGATCTAGACCTTCTTGATAGTCTAGCGGAGATGGCCGTGGAATGCCTTAGCCTTGATGTGGATCAGAGACCAACAATGACAGAGGTAGCAGAGCAACTCTTCAAACTGAGTCGATCTCGTGACTTTTAAGTTGTTTGTAAGGTGAATCATATTCTGGTGTGAACAATATGTATGTCCAATAAGAGTGGGCAACTCTCTTTGTAGCAACTTTTATCTTATTTTCTTGTTGTGATTTTTCTCTCTTTGAAATAGAAGCAGGGGAGGTCTGCCTTGGTTCATTTTGTACTATGACTTGTTGAGTAGCATCTATTTAGGATGATAAATTGGTTGTATTAATCGCTCAGATTATGTATTTATGGGTAACAGAACCTCATTATTCCTGAAGAATGATGGTTACTATGTCTGGTTGTTTATCTTATTTTCTTGTTGCGATTTTCCCACTTGAAATAGAAGCACGGAAGGTCTCCCATGGTTCATTTTTCCCTGTGACTTGTTGAGTGAGCATGTAGGGTGACGAATTGGTTGTGTCAGCTACTCGGATTATGTTGTTATGGGTAAGATAATCTCCTTGTTCCTGAAGAATGATGGTTACTATGAATAGAAACTGTCAGTATTAACCTTGACGTATCTGCAGTTTCAGTTGCTGTTTGTTTCCCTCAGTAGTTAAATAAGTTCAGTTGGATGTGTTGTTCTGAATGTCACCTGAATCAGCCAGAAGCGAGCTGCGTTCTCGCTGCGGCCTTGTTTTTTTAGCTCAAGTTAGTTAGCTTTAGACTCGGCACGATTCAGGCTCGTGGGATGGCACGCGCAATTGTAGGATCGTGGCGAGCTTTCAGTTTTTCTGTTAGCGACTGAATAAAAGGAAGAACAGAAAAGACGCACTCTTTACGCGTCGCAAAAACCTCTCTCTGTGTGGCTGCGTTCCTTCTCCGTTCCCTTCCACCTCGTGTGTGTGTTGTGTTCTTCAGAGAAAGAAATTCAGAGAGGGAGAGAGACTCGATCACTGCTAGAAATCCAACAGAAACCGCATCTATCTCTTTAATCCATTCTAGCTGCATATGTGATGTGTGCAAGTTCAACAACACAGTTATTATTTAATATTTGCAGAAAACACCACATTTATTTCTGCAGCTTTCCTTTCGTTCCAATGGTGGTTGTCCACTGTTTTTTTTTTCAGTTCAACACATAAACACAGGAACTAGACAACAGGATCTCTGGATTTTTTAAATGAATTGCTTAGTCCAGGATCTCTGGCCTCAAATAATTAGCGATTTTATGCAGAGGCCGGGTGTGTGCTCATTGTGTTTGTATTCCTTTGATGCTCCATTCTGAGCAAATAAAATCCACCATTTATCTAAGGAAAAAACTAATTAGCGATTTTAGCAAGTCCAACATGTCCAACAATGTTAAAATTTCACTTATTCTCTGCCTCGATAGACAGTGGCTGCTGCAGCATCAGGACACGCAGAAGAAGCATCGTCCATATTCAGGTTCAAACATGCAAAAACACCTTTCTACTTTGGTCATAATAGTCTTCGAAAAGAACAGAACCATCCCAGCGATCTAGCATGTGGTTTTCACTTTTCACAGAGAGGCACCAACGAAATCCTTGCTCCATGGCCACGTTTCTTTGCAACCAGCGAAAATAGAGGCGTAGCTAGAATTAAACAGGAGGCAGCGAGAAGAGAATGGTCACTCCTTGTTTGAGAGAGAGAGAGAGAGAGAGAGAGAGAGATAGACTTCTTTTTTAACATTGAAGTATTATTTTTTTCTGAAATATTTAGTCCGAGTTTATGAAGGAGAGTATCAATTATATTGCACGCCCATATGTCGAAATCACTAAGTAGTGCATGCTTTTTCCTTTTTCCGTAGATTAGTTTATTCAAAATCTTTTATCTCTTAAACCGTGCGTCTAAATCCCTAACCATTTTCACCGTTACATTCGCCGCGTCAAGATCTTTGAAACTAAGATTAGGTTTCGACGAACTTTATTTCACAAAAAATGGACAAAAAAAAAAACGGTGGGACACAACCGTGCCTCTCACGAAACTCTCTCGAAAGAATAAATGTACCTCCATGAGAAACAAATTTGGGCCTCTCACGCAAAAAAATGCAATATTTTTTCACTTTTGAGGGACACAACTGTGCCTCTTGCAGAACAAAATATATACCTCCAGGAGAAAATAAATTTGTGCCTCTCATGAATTTTTTTTCATTATTTTTCCTTTTCCAAGAGGCACACTCTCGCGAAACAAATTGGTGCCTGCAGATGAAGTAAAACTGTGTATCTCGCGGAAGCAAAGAAAACTATTTATTTTCTTTTTCAAACTATGACTACCACGGAAGCAAATTTGTGCCTCCACGAGAAGTAAATATGTGCCTCTCGCGGAAGCAAAAAAATATGTTTTTTCATTTTTTGAGAGCACAGTTGTGTGCGTCTAGCTGGAGCAAATACGTGCCTCCACGAGAAGTAAATCTGTGTCTCTCACGTAAGAAAAAGAAAAAACACATTTTTTCACTTAAAAATATTTTTTGTCCCAAGCCTAGGTAAAGGAGGAGGGTTGTGAAAGGCTTGGCTAGCCAACATAAAAAGTCAGCCACTCTTATGGAGACGAAACCCAAAAGATTTTCGTTGGGGCGTAACCCTCTCAGCGACGCGCCACATCGGAACCCGGGTGTTGTGTCCAATGGGCTAGGGTCGGGCCGTCACCCACCCGGTGGTGTGCCGTATCTTGATCTGGATACAGTGTCAAGTGAGCGAGGATCGGGTCGTCGCATCCTTAGTGGCACGCTACATCGGCGTCCGGATGTAGTGGAAAATGAGCAAGGGTCTTCCATTTGACTCGATGAGTGCGAAGGGTAAAGAAGCGAGCCGAGCCTAGGAGTATTAATACTTCTTGAATAAGTAGTTTGACCAGATTTAACCAAATTTTTTTAAAAAAACTGAAATTTGACCATATCTTTTTTTCCTTTTGGAATTTGAGGATTCTAAAAATTCCAAACAGGCCATAGGCCGTCTCCATCGGATGCGGATTTTCGTGCTGAATTTTTTGATATATTATACGTTTTTTTCCGACATCGTATGCAAAAGTTATAGCCGTTTTACATTTTCCCTACACTTTTTGCAAAACATGTCCAAATTTAAGTTTTCAAATTTTCCTAACTAGTAGATGTAGTAATATAACTACCTCTCTAAGGATTTTATTTTTTTTGAAGTTTTTATCATTTACTTTTGATTTTTTCAAAACTGAAATGGCTATACAC